ACTCACACATACACACACACACACACACACACCCACTCACACGTGGACACACACCTGGCCCTGCCAGTCCACTGTGTTGATGAGGATGATGTTCTCTGGGAGTCTCTCGTCTGAGATCAGGATCTGATTCAGCTGATCATACACTGATTTCCTGGGCACCTGCACAACACAAACACACATGAAACTAAACTCCCTCTCTGCAGATATACACATACAAATGATTCACACAATTAAAGGTAATGGACACATGATGAGACTGTGGTCACTGTCAACCTGAAATCAGAATAAAGTCACTTTTACTGATTCTGTTGGAGTGACAGAGGAGTGTTGATCTGGTGTGTTCTCTTGAGATCTGACGCACCTGTGCGCTGAAGCGGCTGTCGAGCGAATACTCGCTGTCCACGCTGATGGTGCGCTCGCTCTGAGCTCGGGAGTTCTGTCTGTCCTTCATGGATGTGCTGCGAGCGCGCCGTGGGACCCTGCTCTCCGCTTTACTGGAGGTCATAAAGACAGAGATCCGACTCACTCAAGCAGGTCATTTCACTTTCACAAAGCCCGTGAAAGACGCGTGTGAACGTGTACCTGGGACTGCTGTGATTCTGGGACTCAGTCTTGCAGAGTTTGTTCAGTCGATCGCTGATGGGCTCTGACACATCTGCCATTACTATCCCATGATGCTCTGCATCCGCCTCCTGCAGAAACACAGTGAGAGACGAATAAATGAACTCATCATATGATTTCTTTGAGGAATAGTTCAAATAAACAACATTTGACACTGTGTCATTGAAATATGTCTTCTATTCATCAGTGATGCATTAAAATAAGTGACAGTAAAGACATTTATAATGCTGCAGAAGATTTGTTTCAAATAAATGCTGTTCTTTTGAACTTTCTGCAGATATTCACATAGAAAACAGCTGTTTGAAATGGTATTATATAGGTTCAGTAAATGATGGGAGAATATTCATGTTTAGATGAATGATTCGTGTCGTTCCAGGGGTTCCGGTTTGAATGAAACATAAAGAAGCTGCGTCTGTGTCAGAAGTAAAGGTCAGAGGTCACAGCAGGCAGGTGGCTCACTCGGCCTGAATAATGTAGGAAACTCACAGCGAGGGAAAGGGCAAGAGAGACGACATGCAGGGCGGAGCTCAATTAGAGACAGAAAGACTGGCGAACACTTCAGCACAGATCTCAGATCAGATCATCTCCACCCGAACCGGTGTCAGCGGGCTTCATTTGTTAAAAAAATATACAACTTAAATATGGGACAGAGTGAAAGGAACTGATCTGATCCAGCTGAGAATTCCCCATCATATTCATTACAGTCAACCGAGATCAGCTGAACAAACTGAGCCCAGAGATGAGAAACACGTGATCCCTGCAGATCTAGCACACGTTCAGCTGAGAGGATTCTGGTTTCTGAATATTCTGAATTCAACGTTTAGTTTTAGAATTCATCCTGACCCAATAAGAGGAGGCAATGCTTAAATAACTAAAGACAGAAAACAAGCGTTTGCTTTCAGAAGGAGAGTACTACGAGTGCGTAAGTCATCCAAACCATAGAGTAATGATGCCTCTAAAAACAATTCAAGATTAAATATTCTATTTGGGAATATGTGGGAACCTTTATCTATTTTGAGAAGAATGCATTATTCCATCTTTGAAGTGACTTAGTTTTTAACTCTTACAGTTCAATGTCATTGGTAAATTGAATATGTATTAGTATTATTATTTTCTCAGCACAGGTACTGTTAAGTTGGGATTGGATGGGAATTAATGGGCAGGAAAAAGAGCAAAGTGAATGCCTTGAATGCTAAAAATAAAGGAACACAGAATGTGCTGTGAGCCAATCAGAATGAGGAGCTGAAGCTGTGCTGCGTCAGGTGTGTGTGAGGCTGAGCTCTCACCCCGCCGCTGGTGTCCTCCTGCTGCCACGAGCCGGCCGTCTCACACCCCTCCACCGACAGGAAGTCAGCAGCCTGCACAGGAAGTCATCAGCACTGATTTACATGTGTGTGTGTGTGTGTGTGTGTGTGTGAGCGTGAGTGTGTGTGTGTGTGTGTGAGTGTGTGTGAGTGTGTGTGTGTGTGTGATGTCAACATACAAAAATACTGTGTCTGCAACACTGCTGAACATCTACACTCTGTTTACTAGAAATTCAAGGTAGTTTTTATAGATATATATTAGGAGACCATTTGTTGATTTTAGATTTTGGAACACAAGAGTTAACTAGTACTAGTAATCAGTCTAATGTGGATTCTCTCTAGAGCATGAGTGATATAGTGGTCTATTATTATTTCAAACTAAAGAAATCAGTCCTGTGTGGGATGTGTGTGTAAACGCTGCGCTGCTGAACTCTCCTTGTTTTCTCCAGTGGAAACGTCGCTTCGTATGTGCCGCGTCTCCCTCTCGGATGCTTGTGATTCCAGAGACGGATCAGGTACTCACACAGATCTGATGTCAGGCCCTAAAAATACCCATAAACCCCCAAACATCCCGAATGCCCACCAGCACACCCTCAGATTAACATTCGATGAACGTGTGATGACATCAGCCTGGGTTCATTTACTGGAGCGAGGCGTCTGCTAAATTAAGAGTGTGGAATAACCTAGCGCTCAGATTCCTCTGATCCGAGCCCTTAAGACTCATTCCTGCACCCGGGCTTCTAACTATGGTTTTATTTTGTTTTGTTGTTTCATTCTATGCCTAATATTTGCTGCTGTAATTGTTCTCTGGGATGTACAGGCTGATTTAGAAATGTGCTTTAGAAAACAGTCTTTAACTGAAGGTTTGTGTGACTATAATCATCTGAACATGTGTGTGTGTGTGTGTGTGTGTGTGTGTGAATCTCACCATGTTGGACGCTGCGTCTCGGTGTTGATTGTGACTGTGAACGCTGCCGATCTCTGTTTGAGAACTGGAGTGAGACATGCCCTCAAAAAACGGCCTGAAACACACACACACACAAGCTCATTCAGCTACAGTGTAGAGCTCAGGTCCAGCTGCTGGCATTTCACCATACGGCTGCTTATTTCAACAGATAACAACACAAAGGAAGCAGATCAGACAGCCGAGGCTCATACCTGAGTTTGGGTTTCGGGGTGCTCAGGACGCTCTCGTTGTCCTCCAGCTCCGGGCCGCTGTCGCTCTGATTAAAAACCTCCAGACTGTCATAAAGCAGATCCAGATCCTCCTCCACCTCCTGCGTCTGATCCACCGGGTCTGAGTCCAGAACCTGAACACATCAGACAGAAGGAAAATATGCACCCAAATCACCTGCTGATAATCAGACTGAAAAGCCTTCATGGAAAAACTCATTTTCTCAGTCAAATTCAGACATTCCTTGTGCACATGTGCAGTGCTGAGATGTGTATTTTACATGCATTTTATATCTTACAAATGTGTTTATTTACATCTCACAAACTGGTCAGTGAAGGATATTTACTGAATATCTTCTAAAAACGCTCCTCTTTGTCAGCTTTCTTTTTAGATGTCATCAAGACGTAAATTCTGCTTGCTATATACATTTCTCCAGTTTCTCCATGTGCTGAAGTTTTCTTTGAATACATGTAATGCACGTGTAAATCAATATGTTAACCGGACGGGGTTCAAATGAACCGAAGTTACAGAATCTAGACTCAGAGCAGCAAATAAAAGGCTTGAACTCCTCGCAATCTTCCGTCTCCTCTGTCATGCACACTGCGCACGTTTGTGATGATGCAAGATGCATTCAACAGAATCCAGCAGAAACCAGATGCTGGAACAATCAGATTCAGACCACAGCAAACATGTCCGGTGTGAAGCCTGGACTCACCTCATCTGTGACTTTGAATCTCTTCAGTAAGGCCACAAACTTCTGCTTGAAGTTGGGTTGCTGTGAACATCAGAAGAGACGGTCAGTCAGAATCAGTGTTAGTCTCACTGCATCACTGCACACACAGGCTTCAGTTCCCATAAACCCACTGAGAATCTCTTCTGATCCCATAAAGACGGTGATGTTGAGTCTGAGACACTGGACAGATGCTTAAAATGACTGAAATAACACCAGACAGCTACGCTCATCCTTCTCTTGGTGTCGTCACGTTTTTATTGCTGCCTAGGGTTGCAAATGGGTGGAACATTTCCAGTAAATTACAGAAACTTTCCATATATATTTTAAAAATTTAAACAAGGTTTTGGTAACTTTCGGAAACTTTTGGAAAATTTGCCGTACCATGGGTGCAGCAGGCGCAATGATATTACGCAGCGCCTGAAAACAGGCTAACTTCCGTCAACATAACCAACGTGACCACCTGCTTGCACAGGGAGCGTGCTGGGGACTAGTTTCAGGCGCTGCGTAATATCATTGCGCCTGCTGCACCCATGGTACGGCAGCAAAGTTCCTTGATTATTACGCCGGAATGAGAGCATAGTTTCTAGCCATATCGGCCTAGAAAACCACAGCTCTTCATTTTCCGTCGGTCTTAGTACACGATGTAACTACAGAAGAGTCAAGTTTTAAATAGGAAAAATATAGAAACGCTTTGGTCATTTTTGAGCGAGATGCTAACAGTCTAATCAGATTCAATGATCTATGCTAAGCTACAGCTAAAAGTGCTACCGCCAGACCCGGAGATCGGCTGAATGGATTCGAAAATGGTAAAACTCTACTGTTTAACTCTAGGGGAGCTGGAAAATGACCCTATTTTCAAAAATAGTGGAGTGTTCCTTTAATGCTAGTTCATGTTCACGGAGGGCTGAATCACATTGCATTATTGAAACAGTTATATTTCTTATAAAGATGCTGTGAAACAACCTGTATTGTGAGAAGCGCTATACAAATAAAAATGACTGAATGAATGAATTAACTTCCTCTTCTGTACTATTAAAGACAGACACAGACAGTGAGACAGACAGACAGACAGACAGAGAGACAGAGAGACTGACAGACAGACAGAGAGACAGACGGACAGACACAGAGAGACAGACAGACAGACAGACAGATGAACAGACAGACAGAGAGACAGACAGACAGACAGACAGAGAGACAGATGGACAGAGAGAGAGACAGATGAACAGACAGACAGAGAGACAGATGGACAGACAGACAGACAGATCAACAGACAGACAGAGAGACAGATGGACAGACAGA